ACACCTGCCTTCCACTTTAACATACTGAAGCCCTATTTGAAGATTTTCAACAACAGTGTGAATATCATGCACGTGAGTCTCTTGAACCCAGGGGCCCAGCTGGAGCCTTGGTGTGATGGGTGCTCAGAGACATGTTGTCTGGAATTCTGGCTCTTCTGGGTGGCTTTGTGATCATTGTTTTTTTTTTTTCCCCGAGTCTCAGTTATCTCAGCTGTAAATTAGAAAAACCCTCTCAATTTTGTCAGGTGGTCAAGATGACATAACGAAGTCATGTGTTTGGCATATAGTAGATGCTCAAAGGCATTAGTTTCTATGATTACCTCACAGAAGCCTTGGAATCCTGAGGCACAGTTGATGGTGATGATGATGAATGTTGCACAGTAGTTATTGCTGAGCAACAACCACTTCAAAACAATAAGGGTTTATTATTGCCAACAGTGGTTTGGCTGGGTCTTCTGGGTGGGGATGGGGGTCACTCATGTGATCAGCTGTGGGTCAGGTAGGCAACTTTGCTTGTCTGGTTTCAATTTTCTCACACGATTTGGGCTTGGCTAACTGCATGATGAACTAGGATGGTCTCAGCTAGGACAAACGAACTTTGTTTCATGGCTATTCTTTCTCAATCTCTCTCTCTCTCTCTCTCTCTCTCTCTCTCTGTCTGTCTCATGCATTGGTATCTCTGGCTTTTCACATGGTACAAGCAGGGTTAAAGAGATTGAGATGAAACTGCAATGTCTATTGAGATCTAGGCNTTCTCCTCAGTAGCTCTGCCAGGATCCCCCTCCTTCCTGCCCCCCTCACCTACGACCACCCCCCAGGGCAATTCTGGACACTCAAGGTCCAGGAGTGGAGCACTGGCTTCTCTAGAAGGATGATCTTCATGATGATACAGAGCCTCAAGGTGTCTCCCCTCCAGGGTTACCACATTTCCTGACATTCACCCCGATAACTGTCCCTGGATTAATAGGACTTTGTCCCTATAGATGGGGTGGAGCAGTGTGGCAGCGGGAAAGGCTTGGGCTTGGGAGTATGACAGACCTGGGTTCCTTTCAGCTCTACAACTTGGACTAGAGGTTTTCCACCTCTGAGCCTCAGATTGCTCTTCTGTTAAATAGGTGTCTTTTCTCCTGTGGATATTGTCAGCTGGGTCTCTCTAACAGATCCCCAAGGTGCTGGCCCAGAGCTGAGGGGAGAGGGATGCATCACCTTGTAGGTCGACCATGTAGCACATAGTGGGCTTACTGTATGTGACGTACCTGACACACAGAAGGGGCATTTTATATAAAGTACCCAGCACATAGTAGGCATGCTTTGTGTAGTATGTGTGGTACTCATAGGCACTTTTTTTTATTGGGGAACAGTGTTTTTTCCAGGACCCTTCGGCTCCAAGTCCAGTAGTTGTTTCACTCTAGTTGTGGAGGGCGCAACTCAGTGGCCCATGTGGGGATCCAATATGCAACCTTGGTGGTATGAGCTCTGCACTCTAACCAACTGCGCTAACTGGCCGCATCAGCAGGCACTTTTTATGTAGAATGTCTGGCTCCAAGCAGGCATGGTTTATGTAGATCACCTGGCATACAGTGGAGAGAATTTATGTTGAGAATCCAGCATGAAGTAGACATGCTTTATGTAAGTACTTCACACAGAGAATGTTTACTTTATGTAGAGCACTTGACACATAGTAGGTGTGCTTTATGTAGAATACCCAGCACATAGTAGGCATGCTTTGCATAATATGTCTGGTACTACTAGGCACTTTTTACATAGAATGTCTGGTACACAGCAGGCATGCTTAATGTAGATCACCTGGCATACAGGAGACAGAATTTATGTAGAGAACCCAGCATGCAGTATACACAGAGTAGGTTTACTTTATGTAGAACACCTGACACATAGTAGGTGCGCTTTATGTAGACTATGTGGCACATAGTAGGCATGCTTTACATAGAATAACCTCCACTGTAGTTGTGCTTTATATAGTGCTCCTGGCACTTAGTAGGAATGAATTATAGAGAGCAACAAGCACATAGTAGGCAAACTCTATGTACAACACCTGGCATACAGTAAACAAGGTTTATGTAGAGTACGTGGCGCACAGTAGCCACAGTTTTTGGAGGTTACCTGGCACACAGTAGATACACTTTATGTAGCACACCTGGCACACAGTGGACATACTTTTTGTGGAGGTCTTGGCATATATTACGCATGCTCTTTAAGGTACTCAGCACGCAGTAGGCACACTGTACATACAGTTCTTTGAGCAGAGCAGGTTGACTTTATGTGGGGCACTGGCAAATATCAGCACATGTACTAGCTGCCAGTGTTTTCTCTTTACTCCACTTTTTTGGGGGCTCCTGATCCTTCCCACCTCCCTGTGGAAACCTCCTCGGTCCCCCTCTCAAGACCTCATCTGACATCCCATGTTCCAGATGGAAGACAGCCCGGTGGGGTCTGGCACAGCCAATAGTCAGAGCGAGGGTGAGGCAGAGCTCACTCAGGGCCTCCTAGCTCTGCCCTCCTCTCTCTGGACCCCTCAGACTTACCCGCTCAGCTCTACGTGCCCTCTTCCCCCTAGGCCCTTCCTCCCCTGAATCTGATGAGAGAATCCCCAGTCAGGCT